TATCGCCCCCTTCACTTCAAAATTCCGATGCCGAGGACCAAGACTAACACCAAATTTGTACTGCATTGAATAGACTAGTGACTAGTATAATGTTATTTGTTTAATTATTGTATGATATAACGAATAAAATATCTAATTATTCTTAATATAATATTTTACTATATCGCCCAGAAAATTGTTTTTTGCCCCCCAAAATATAAATTGTTACTAACCGCCCCCTGAACATGAAAAAACACCCACATGGGGGCAATATCGCCCCCATTGAGAAATACTGGACTAGACAGACCATGGACTGTAATCCTATTAAGGTGACCAGTGACACCATATAAAAATATGGTGTCATTGATCACCTTTAGCAAGATTATGATATACATAACAAATGACTATTATTTCATAAGAGAGTAATCTATCATAATTGCACACAAAAAATTTATAAATAAAACTGAGTTAAAATAAATAAATAAATGTTTTAAATTTAATTTCAATAGAAACATAACCAAACAATTGCCTTAAATAATCAGGCAATACCTTTGCTAATTGAATGATTAATACTAAGTACTTTGCTACCAGAGGTAGAAAAAAATAACTGACCTGAGGCAGGGCTTGAACCTCACCCTAGGTCAGTTCTTTTCTTCCAAATGATTCTAAATTATTTAATTAATTGTTAAAATTATAATTATTAATTTAGTTAAGAGATGGTACCTAATGTCCACCTCTAGTAGCAAATTGCTTAGTATTAATCATTAAATTAGTGGAGTTATAGTCCAATTATTTAAGGTGATCATTTGGTTATGTTTCTATAACATATCAGGCTTCACAATGTTTGATATATTTAATTTTAATTATTAAATATTATAGATTTCATTGTAGTAAAAAATAACTCACTTTATTTAATGTAATATTCAGATGAAGGTAAAGCTGTGTTGGAATAAAAGGTGTTTTTTCAAGTGCATATTCATAACCTCCAAATCTTTGTGTTAATAATTTTATATGTAGATCAACTTCTTGTATAGCAATTTCAAAATTTTTCTTTTGAGATGTAATTGCTTGAGGTGGATCACGTGAGAGAAAATAAACATGTCCTACTGGAACCCAGGCTCTGTTTAAAATATTTTAAAAGATCATAAATATAATATTTAAAATTAATTTTATTGCTACCAAGAAAAAGTTTTTAGTTATTATTATTTCTAATGAAAATAAAATGATAGTTGATTTAATTACAAAATAACTAAATCTAACCAAAAAATTAACACTTTAAAATAAATAACATATCCAAAATGACTGAAACATAAATAACATTTATATCTTAAATAAATTATACACAAATTATTTTTTAGATAAATTAACAATATCTAGCATAAAACTCAAGTATTCAAATACTTAGTGTTACACATCAAAAGTGAAATTTCACTCTGATATATTATATTTAGAATTTTATCTTATGTATTGTTACATATATCTCTTATTTATATGTTTTCATATAAATATTTACTTATGAAACTAAAAACAAATACTGAAATCATTGATATCTGGACATTGTTTGAAAAAACTTTGATTTTGAAAAACATTTAGAAATTAAAACTGTAAAAATACTGTAAATTTATACAAGTGCTATACAACATAAGAAATATGGGAGGTCATGACGTTTGGTCAAAATTCAATATTGAAGAGATTTGTACAAATCCTAAGAATTTTGTCCAAAAATGCTGTAACTGAACAGCATGAGTGAAAAAGGGTCACATACATAGATGTGTATTCTGGATGAAAAATGATTCATTTTTTATGAGATAGAGAGACTTACACGACCTTTGGTTCTGTATAAAACTTTGATAAAAGTCCTTGAGCCACTTGGCTCTCCATGGATAACAAGCATGTTTCTGCACTAAAAAAATTTGCTCAAAAAAAGATGTAGAGTCTGGGATTTGAGATGTGTAAAACAGTCAAATTTCAATCAAATAAAAAGCAATCAGCTTATGAAAAAAAAACATTAAGTGTGGTGAAGAAAAAAGCAATCAGCAGTTATGAAGAATGCAATTACATGGGAATAATTCAAAGAGTCATGGCAAATTGGATATAACTGATCAGGAGCACACACCCCATGTCTTTGAGACAGATTTTTTTTAGATTGGATCCCTCAATCTACGTTCAAATTGGTTTTGAATCTGTGTCCCTCAAGACTCGATTGGTCACTTACCTGTTTCCAGTGAAATTAAACATGTATTTGGACCAAGTAATAGTCTACACTAAAGATTAAACACATATCCTGTATAGTAAGTCCTGCATTTATTGAGTTGTGAGATTTAAGAACAACAATTGAACAGGAGAAGTTCTGAGCACATCATAAAAGTGGAATGTTTGAGATACCTTCTAAACTCTGTACTGGAAAAGTGTCATGTTTTCCATTCAACAACTTCAGAGATGTGGACATAAAGCAGTGCAAATTATGTGAATGTTTTATTTCTGTTCTAGCATTTTTCCATGATGTGGATAATATGCAGAAAATTACAATAAATATGCATAAAGCAATAAAATTCAGTAAACAGTCTTACTTTTTTTGTATGTAAAATAATTTGGTAGCTTAGATGAAAATATTATTAAAAAAAAAAAAATACTAATATTTTTAAGATTTACCTTTCATGGCCTCCAAAAAACCTTACATCAACATTTCCATTTGCTGATTTTACAGCCTGAGGTAAAAAAAATTATTTTTAAAAAAATGCTTTGTAACCTTTAAATTATTTTTAAAATATTACAAATTATAGTTATTTTATATAAATCAATGTATAAAATTCTGCTTTCATTAATAAATAGAGTTAATAGTCTGTTTAATTGCTTTACAAAAATCTGAAATTATTTCCAGCTTAAACTGACTTGATCAATGCTATTTCATTTTAAATATTTATAATATGCACATTTTAAAATGAAAAACTGAGTCAGAATGTTTATATTTTGCTGTTTAGTATAATATAAAAGAATATAATTTACACAATTACAACTTTCCTAAAAAAAACTTTTACATAAGTATATTACTTTTACTTTATAGTAAAAGTAATATACTTATTAAATTAAAATCAAATCAATATTACTTAAAATATAAATTGTAAACTTTTTCTAATAGGATGTCTGTAAATTCATTAAATAATAATAAAATACTTAAAAATTAATAAAATTTCAGCAGCATAATAATTTATGTTTGATTTTTGTAAAAGCTAACATTTTAACTATAAAAATGTAAATTGAGACATGTTTTAAATATACATTATTATAACTTAACCAATAATAATTTGCATGCAAATCAAATGCAAGTCATCAGCTACAAATATGTTAACAATTAACATCACTTTGATACATAAATTAAGACAAAAAAATATTCAGATGCAATTAAATATTATAAAAATATTGATGTGTATCTTAATATTTTTATATCTGTACATAAAATTATTCAAAATTTCAAGTACTTCTATTTTTCTTACTTTTGCAGGCCATATAGGAAATCCTTTAAGTTTTGCCCAAACAAGAGTATGTGGTTTTCTCTACAAACAAACAAAAATTATTTCTTAAGTTTTATTATATAGTTAGCACAATCTGCAATATAATAATTATTAAATTAATAAAAATTCTAAATTTTCATAAACAGTTAGATGTTTGAACATTAGTTAAAAAAAAAAAAAAAAAAAAAAAAAATTCAATATTGTTACATGCCAGATATTAAAAGTATATGTTAAAATGTAATGCATTTGGAAAATCTATATAAAAGAATTAATATTCTCTGAATTAATACATAGCATTTATTCAGTAGTATCAATATTTGTTTATTAAAATCCTTCATTTTTAATGAAGATGTTGAATAAATTAGTAAATTATGACATTTTTGACTCATTTCTAAAATCAAGAAATGTATTTATCAAATATTAATTAATTTAGTTAATATAAAGAAACTTACTTTAATGTTTAACATAATTTATGTTTAACATTTATTGCTTTGTTGCTAATTGTTAATATTTTGTAAATATTAAATAATGTGCTTGAAAAAATAATTCTGGTTTCTTTTTGATTGAACCAAGTAATATCTAGAAAACACTATTCATACTTATATACTTCATAAATTATTTTTACTATCTGCGTCAAATTAAAATAGCAGTATATAAATACATTTTCAATATAACAAATATTTGAATGAATAAGCTAAATACTTACACAAGGTTCAGAGAACCATTTGTCTTTCATAGAATAAGCATGTAAATAACAATCAGGGCAAGTTTCTATTTCTCTCAATTCTTCTTGACATACTTTTAGTATTGTTTTAATTATGGGCATTCCATGAGATGCTATAAAATATAATTAATATGTTAAGAATACTTCTAATATAATTAAAACTATAAAGACAAATTTATACAATTAAGAAAAATTATTAATTTATCAATGTTAGAAATTAAGAATATTTGTCCAGTGGACAACCAGGTCTAGTCTCCTGATTGTCCTGTAATAAAATCAGTTGTCCAAGCTGCAGGGTATATACCTGATAGTGTGTGTATATATTTATCTACCAGGTAATACAGAAAAATTACACTTACATAAAAAATAAAGATGGAAAAAAGCCAAGTGTTTAATTAATAACACAATCTTGTGTTCAACACTCAATAAATAGTAAAACATGGTTTCAGAAAACAAAAAATAAAGTTTTTTTTTAATTGCTTGCACATTATGCAGCCATTCATTATGTTTACATAAAAAGAAATCTTGAACATCTTAGAAAACCTACAAGATGTTTGTTTACTTAGCTGCTAACTTAAGAAACATTAAATAAGTCTATAAATTCTTATTACGTGTGTTCACAATTAATCAAAAAAAATTTTTAATGAAATAAAATTATATTTAAAAACTCAAACATAAAGAATTCTGAGATAAAACATACACAAAAGGCTATAACTAGTTACAGTATTAAAAATTGAATTAAGAATCATATGCTAAAATTTGTTTTAATAGGCACACAAAACTAATATCTATAGGTGGTTTAGAAAAAGTTGAAAAGCATGTAATAAGTGCATGTAATAGTAGGACATTACATCTGATCCATCAATCTAGCCTGGTATTCTGTGGTTTGTATTTTTCCAGCAAACTGTAACTTTAAACTGACTCAACCATGTTCTAAATTAAATTTATCCTATAAAATTAAACATTATTATTATCTTTTATATCTGAACAAATTACAACTATAGATTAAATACACCAATAGGTTCATTTACAGATTTATACAATTATTTGTACAAAAAACAATAAACATATGTTTATTTTAAATCTGACAGAATTACAAGTCACTAATAACACTCCCTTCTAGAGAGAGATTTCAAAACATTCTTTACAAGCATTTTCTCAAATCTTCTAATTCTGTTTAAATCCTTTTCCATTCTAAAATGAGTAATGTTCTACAATAGAATGGAACTTGAGCTTTTTATAGTACATTCAAAAACTGTAATCATTGTTTTTTAACAAAAAAATAAGATTCTAAGAAACCTAACAACAGCAATAAATAATGTTTACAACTGTAGTTTCTAAGCAATCACCAAACACTTGGAAGAATGATGTCACATTCATCTTTCACAGAAACAAGTATAAGTGGATATTGAATAAAATTTATTATTCAATATTGCATGTAAGTAAAATGAAAATAAAACATCTGATTGTATTAAATACATAAATAACAATTTTGCTTTAATGATCTAACAGGTGCTGATATCTGATTAATAAATTAAAAATTCATTAATCAGATGTCAGCACCTGTTAGATCAGTGGTTCTCAACCTTTTATGTTGATGTACCCCATTAGTCAAAGAACAGTTACTCATAGATTCAGTCATTCTACGGCAAGCACACAAACAACACAGAAACATAAGCAACACAAAAACAACAACACAAAAACAGTAAAAAACTGAAGAAAAAAAATTGTGAGATGTACAGTAAGTATGTCATGAAAGAATATGTGTGTCAGAAGTGATTCGCAGGGTTTCACTCCACAGATTTTTCTGTTCAAGATGCACCAAGAACAGGTCGACCAGTTGAGATTGACAGTGATCAAATAAAAGAATTAGTCAACAGTAATCCAAGCCATATGAGGCAGGAGATTGCATGTATTCTTTAAATATTGAAATCAAGTATGGAAAATCATCTGTGTCAACTTGGATACAACTGCAAGCTTGATGTTTGAGTTCCACATGAACTTAGTGAAGACAATCAAATCATTTATATTTCCATCTCTGATTCTCTCAAAAAATATGAAGAAAGTGACCCATTTTTGAAGCAAATGATGATGGGGGGATGAAAATTGGATTATTTATGTTTACATCAATCACAAAAGATTGTGGAGAAGTGTGGCAAACCAAAAAAACTTTATCCAAACAAAATCATGCTCTTGATTTGGTGGGATTGGAAGGGCATTTTGTTTTATGAACTGCTTCCGAAAAATAAAACAATCAATTCCAATGTATACTGTGACCAGCTGGACAAATTAAATACAGTAATTCAGGAGAAGCATCCTGAATTGTTGAATCACACGAGGGTCATCTTCCACTATGATAATGCCTGACTACATGCATGTAAACCTGGCAAAAATGGTTGGAGCGTGACTGGAATGTCATATGTCATCCTTCATATTCACCCAACCTTGCTCCTTCCAATTTCCACTTGTTTTGCTCCCTTCAAAATTATTTAAACAAACAGTGCTTCATTTCTGATCACAATATAAAATGGCACTTGAAATAGTTTTTTGCCAAAAAAAAAAAAAACTGAAATAAGTTTTTTTAAACAAGGTACTATGAAGCTCCCCAAAACATGCCAAAATGTACTTGATGAAAATAGTAAATATATTATTGAAGAAAATTTTTATTTTCTATAAAAAAATGTCTTTTATTTTTACCTAAAAAAACACAGACTTATTAACCAATACTAAAAACCCCACTGGTAAAAGTGCCATAATTAGTCCTACTAAATTATCATAGTGACTAGTATATCAACCTCATAAATATATTACATAATATAAAAATAGAAATATTAATAAACTATGTAAACATCATAGAAATGTAAAATTAAATTGAAAAAATCAAAATCAAAAATAAAATTAAATAGTTCATCTATTAACAAAATATTCAAATTACTTTATTTACAAACAAGCTATAAAAAAGGTATATGACATCATTCATGAACAGGCTATTAATCATTATTATATTGACTTAAATTATGTATCACAATTTTATGCCAAAAGTATAGCCAAAACAAAAATTAAAACATATAATCTATGAAAATTTTTTATATTAATAAAACATTTTAAAATTACTTACAACATGTTATGTGATTGTGCAAGATCCATTTGACATCTGCTAAAAATGAAGCAGTTGTTGTATATGCTTTTTTACGGATATTCTGAAAAATAAAATTATTTTATGAAAACAATAACTATTAATCATTGTATTTTGTGAAATTTGAAAAAACTTGTGTAAAGATATTTCATATTTCCTTTATACACTCACTACTCTATTCATATAATTCATATTCCTTTTTACAAACACTATCAAATTACTGATAGACAAATGACAGAGAGGTTAAAGTAACAATCTATTGCTCTGAAGGATCTGGAAATGAATCCAGTTTAGTCAAAAAACCCCAGGGATTTTTTGAAAATGGTCTGTCCTGAATATATTGGGTCCTGTTCCTTGCCATCAACCATCCCTTTGGGACCTGGCCAAACCATTAACAGGCTTAATAAAAAGCCCATTTAGTGCCTACTGAACAGGAGTAAAAAACCTATCCTAATAGTAATGTATTAGCACTTGTGATCTACAATAAATTTTACTATTAATGCTGTGACAAATTCCTAACCATTATTGCAGTTATCTGTGAAAAAATTGTCATCAATTTTTCTAAAATTTTCTGGAGTTGTTTTTCAAAGCAATGACTAAAAAATACATTCTAATCATTTTCTCTGAAAGACAAGACAGGATTCATGTTACAAACTAAATTCTTTTTGTTTAAAACTAGTAGTGGTTCATGATAAGCACTACAAAACTGCAGCCCCCCAAAAAACACAAAACAACATATTGATTTTTATTATGTAGTCAGTATGTAAATTATTATACACAATTAAAATTAATTTTTTATCATAATAGTATACAAAATAAAATCAATTCTATTAGGGTAGTTGAGTGTCAGGCACTTTCTTCTGACAGCACTGTTAAACAGTATAGTCCCATCTCCCACTCAGAAAACAGTCCTGCTCACTCAGTGAATATTGTGATATGATGAAATACTTGAAACCATGCCATTTTTGATAACACTGGTAAATTGCAATGCTGTCACAAATGACAAGAATTAATAAAAATTAATGGGTCAGGAAAAAGATGCAGAGTATCCTATGACTTGTAAACATTAATTTGAAAGAAATGAAAATTTTAAATCTTAGATTAATTTAGTTAAATTTAAAAAATATATTTTATGAATGCATTATTATGTATGTATGTATGTATATATAGTTTGTTATGTAAAGCAGTAAGTAATTGTCACCCAGCTCCAATATGTCAGACAGCCACAAGCTGCTGTCATTTAAAACTAGACACCGCTAATAATTTCAGAGACATTGATTTCTCTAAATAAAAATATGAAACAATTTCTTTTAAAATTTTATCACATTACAAATTACAAAATAACAGTCATTCATCCATATTTCAATAAAAAAATAATAATCAAGTAGACTAAACATTAAGTATTAGTTGTCAAACATGTTCATATAATACTTTATGTATATTATATACATAAAGTAATTGTTTGCAAAGATTTTTCTACTTCAAGAATATTCCAATGTAAGAAATTTTATGTGATTGGGAGATAATGTAAAGTTTATGTTAGTTTTTTTATATGTAATTGTTATGTTACTTTATATAAGGCATTAAGAAATTAGACTGACAAAATGAAATAGGTAATATAGGGGTCAATGCAAGCAATTTTGGTCATATGGACTGAAGGTTGCTGCAATTCTTCTTGAGATACAGGCCCTTAAAGTTTCTTTGCCATCCTGAATAGAATGCAAATAGTATAGTAAAGCCCATCATCATTGTGCCCCTTGTTTTGTGGTGTAGCAGTTTTAAAAACATAGATAGATGCATCTCAGAAAAGTGAAAACTGGAATCAGAACATAGAATATTTTTTAATTGTTATTTCTTTATTGATAACCCAATTTAATTGCATGTCAGATTTTATGTGCAATTAACAATAAAAAGGCAGTAGTCAGGCAAAATAGTTTTAATATCTAGTCTGCATTACAGGAACAGTGCTACATTCCTTTCATCACCAAACTATACAAGGCTTAAGCTTGCAGATTATTCAGCATAAAGAAAGTTTTCATGATGGTATTTAGAACAATGTGAATTAACAGCAGTCAATGCAAAATTTTAACAAAATGTTTAACAGTAATATCAGGCATCTCTGTATGGTATTTGTGCATCACAAAGTAGCAACCACTATCAAATGTTTAGGATCCTATATCTCATATTAGGGGTTATGGTAACATCCAGTTCATATTATCAAAATTGCATGTATTGGTTCCATCCATCAGAAATGCATTTCATTTTTTTTCATTTTGTTAATCTAATTTCTTAACACCCTGTATAAACTTATGATATTTAAAATAATTTATTTCTCAGAATTTTCATATACAGTCGACCCCCCTATAATGTGGGTTCCTATAACGACAATTCCTATAACGTAGCGAAAAAATTGTAGCAGTATTCGTATGAAGTGACTCGTAAAACGTCATCGCCGACTCCTGTCGCGACAAGATTGGTCGAGTCTGGACCAATAGTGGATGAGCAGCCGAACTACTTTCCTCCGACCCTGCGCCACGCTACGGAGCGGCTAAATTGAGTTTGCTATCGTCTGTTTAGTATTATATATAAATTATATATAAATTAGGTACTGTACATATAATTATATATTAATTATATATAAATTAGGTACTGTATATATAATTATATATTAACTTAATTTATTGTAACTTTATTATAATTATATATACAATTTCCGCCGTCTAGCGCCACGTTACGGAGAGTTTAGGCTAGTAAGTTGAGTTTATTATCGTCTGTACAGTATGTAAATTAGGTACCGTAAGTCTAATACAGCACTAATTTTATACATTTCTTGTGATAGAAACATTTCTTATTCAACAGCCATAAAAATTATTTATATTAATGATGTCTCCAAAGGTCAAGTTATTTCTCTGCGAAAAATTCGTTATCAAAAATTGCGGCCGCCGTTTCGTGCGCTGTTCTGCAACGAAAACAAGCTTGAGCAACGGCGTAGTCGAACGGTGCATACTCGGTAAGTAATCCTGCAATTTTTTGTTTATAGCATAGTTTATACGGATTATTCCCAAAAAATTATACATGTTTTGGAAATGTTGAGTGGAATTAGTCTATAATCGGTTAATTTTATAAAAGAAAACCTTTCAAACAGCCTTAGTCCGTAAACTTCACACATGTCGGGCTGCGATTGGCTCATGTATTTAATGATTCCTACAACGTAAAATTCGAATAACGTGGAACGTATCTAAGCGTTATAGGGAGTGTCTACAGTATATTATTTACATTTCTTACTTTTCTACAAAATGTAACACACATCTACTTTATACACAATTAAGTAAAAGTTTTGATAATAGGTTAGGCTGACCATAATTTCTTGAGATCAAAACAAAATGGGGAAGATGAAATTGATAAATACAGACCCTCTTTTATTAAAATTCTGTCAAAAAATAGAGATAAGCATTATTAAAAATATTATTAGTGATATTGGTGTAAAAAAAAAGTATAAATTTCTTTAAAAGATATTATGTTCCAAAAACTAATAACAAATAAATGTTATTTCTTTACAATATAATATTAAATTAAACAGTTCAGTTGATGTAGATTTTCTAAAGTCAATACTTCATTGAAAAGTATTGACTCCAGAAAATCAAACATTTGGTTAATATGTTCTGGTCACTTGCAATTTTACCATAAGACTTATTGCAATGTGAGTCACAATTTTGTTTTATAATTAGCATTTCTTTCTTGGTTTCAATGTTTATTCTTACCTTCTATTTCTATGAGTGAAAATATTCTTTCTACAGAAGCTGCATTCCTGAAAACAATAGACTAATATTATATTATTATTAAAATCTTGAAATTCAACATTCTTTTCATACATTTCATTAAATATTTTGACTCATAAGTTACATCAATTTTTTCTTCATTTTATGTCTCCAAGTATTTGGTTACTGTTGTCTTCATTAGCGCCCACTGATCAAATAATTGAATTTTATCAGTTTCTGTTCCTTAAATTCACTGGTACAATTCTGTATTTCTGACCATTCAGACATATCCCTCAGCAGTAACTATTCAAATTAATGACCCTTATCAACACAGAATAAACATTTTCTAATAAATTATGAGCTCAGATTACAATACACAAATGTGTTTAATATATGAGGGTTGGAATTTTAATAATGACAACTCTGAAATTACAATTTGTATAAAAACATACATGTTTCAGATTTTTACTGTCCTTCAATGTAGTCACCAGCAGTGTAAGACCTGTTACCAGCAATGTGGAAGTTGAAGGATGCAATCAACAGAGCCTGTTTGGTGATCTGCTGCCTGAAGAATATTTGGAATAGTTCTGAACTGCCTTCCATGCAGTGATTCCTTCATTTTAGAGATCAAGTTGAAGTAACAGGGCTTAAATCCAGAGAATACAGTGGATGGTAGAGAATTTCCCAGCCCCAGTGACTGAACAATGTAGCCACACATTGTGCAACATATGTTCAAGCATTGTCATGCAAGATGATGGGTGGGTTATATAGAAAGCATTTCCATTTTTTTTCTCAAACTGGCCACTGACTGTGTTCCAAGAATGTAGAATAATGTGTTTATGATCTGGCCTGGGAGGTACAGCATGTGTCAGAATAACACCATTGCAACCATACAAAAAAATAACCATAGATTTCACCTTGCTGGGGTTCTGACAAAATTTTGACTTTTGTGGTGAGCAACTGAGTGGCAACATTGTGGGTCACCACAACTTTTGTGGTGACCCACAATGTTGCCACTCATTTGATTGCCATTTCAGTTCTGGCTCATATAATCTTTCCCATGTCTCATCTAGCATAATCATACAGCATAAGGAAGCCTCTCCTTCGCACTTGTAGTGCTCAAAGTGGGTATGAGCAGAGTCATATTGTTGCAATTTCTGCATTTCAGTCAGAGTATGTGGTAATCATTGTGATGGAATTTTCTTATTCTCAACCATTTCTTCACAATGTCTAGCACCCTTGTATGCAACAACCCAGTCCCTTGGGCTAATTCACTAATCATTTGGTGCAAATCTATATCCAGAAACACGAAAACAGCATTCACTTATTCTTCACTTGCATGGGGACAACCTGGATGAGGCTAATCTTTCACATTTTTGTGTCCCTCATTGAAGGCTTCTATCCATCTTGCTATTGTTCTGTATGATAATGCAGATTTCCCACAAGCCTCTAAAAGTCCTTGGTGACACTGTCATACAGTACATCTCTGGCACTTTTAATCTTTATCCAACTTTGCTGCTCCAATTTTGAAAACATCACAATTAGACTGGGTGAGAGTAATACACCTTTCTCTTCTTCTCACTGCATAGGTTCATGGAGTTGGATGGTAAAGTCCATTTGCTCTGAGATAAAGTAGGTATGTGCTGGTACATCAGGTCTAGATGGCATTAGCTGATTGCATTGCATTGGGTTTCTATAAAAATGTTGCCACTATTATATTTCTAACCCATGTACAAACTATAGAGTTTTATTTTATTTTTTTCAAAAAACAAGGCAAAAGTGAAAATTTTACTAAAATGGTGGAATGAAAAAATTGATACTATCCCACTCAAAACATTATGTATGGTCAGCCTATAACAGATTACATTTGCACTACAAAATGATAAATATATGTACAAACCTTTTCTAAGATATTAAAATCCATTGGATAAACAACAGAACTGGGATTATCAATATTAAAATCTTCTGGCTATGAAAAAATAATTGCAATAAATTCATGAAAATAATTTTAATCATAAAATATAATTAATTTACAACAGATTTAATTATTTCAATTTTTATGAAATACAAATTAGCAATTATTGAATAATTTATTTTTATTCACTAAAAAGAAAATAAAACAAATTAATAAAATATGACAATTGAACCATTATAATTTTAAAATAAATTATTTAATAACATTTTATGAAACCTGTAATTACTCTTAAAAGATTATTGTTATTCGGAAATCAACAATGATGTTAAAAACCATAAATAGCATCAAAGATAATTTTTTTTTTTTGCTTTTTTTTCTATGCTTTTTTCCATAACTCCAAAATTGGAGTTATGGAAAAAAGCATAGAAAAATATCCATTATAAATCCTCTAAATCAATAAAATAAGGATGCTAAACCAGTTAAAGAGTCAGCAATTTAATAGATATAAAATGTCTATGTCTCAGCTTCAGATCTGATATGTTTGATTTTAAAAATCATTGTATGTTTGCATCAATGTTCTCAAGCCACTTGAACTCAGAGTACAGACTCAAAACATTTAAACCTTAAGAACATAAATATTGAAAAAAATATTTGAAAAATGGACAAAATTTAAAAACATTAGTTAAACAAACATCTAAAAGCAAAAATAATAATTCCTTATTGATATGAAAAAATGGCATTGTACTCCTTACTGATTTGTAAAATGTTGACTCCTTAACTTTTTAAGCTTTGAAAACTAACTCCATCTCTACTGCTAATGACTAAATTGTTTTTACCCCTCAGGCTACAAGAAGAACTTGTACAACAAAGCTAGTCTAACTACTTTTCAATCGGCCAATTTCTTTTTAACTGAAAGGGCAGGTTTAGGCCAATTTTGTGTTTAAAAAGTTAAACACCATCATAAACTGGATGTATACAATATAAGAACACTTCAACACCATAATCCAGTTAAAAGAACAAAACTATTTATTAAAAAAAAAAAAAATTTCAAGTGATATAAACATCCTCAGGTTCTACTGGCAGAATGGAAAAAAATCGAACAAGATATAATTTTAAAATGTTCGTTGCATGTCTTAGTTTAATATCAGGAAATTTATAAATAATTAAAAAGAAATAAAAATCTAGCTTTGAAATGAACATGACAAAACCATCAAAGTCTTTGATAAACAAATTACCAAACAATACTAAAAATGAAGAAATTAACTGAAATTGACTAAAAACATTGAAATTGAAGAAATTAGTAGCAAACGTGACATAAGATTTTCAACGGGAAAAAGGAGAAAAAAAATTATTTCTTTATTAACAAGTGAAAAAGCTACAGAATGAAATTTTATTTTCATTCATTTTATAATGGTTAATAAAAAATAATCTATCCCTTCATTTTCCATACAAATGTTAGTCTTGATTTAGACAATTTCACTCTTACACAGAACCAATCTACTGTGTAAATCAAGGCTTAAGCTAAATCAAATATTCTTCAAATTTACTTTTATTTACTTCAGAATTAAAAATGTTAAAATTTTAATAGTTCTTTATTTCTGTTATTTAATTATAAATTCAAGAAAAAGCATACACAAAACATAGAAAACTATAAATATTGTTTTTTATTAAGACTTTATTTTACAATAAAATATATAAAAAACACAAATAAAACTATAACTGCTTATATAATAAAAATAATTTTACCAAAAAGTTATGGTATTCTGGAAAAGAACAATGAAAACTAATCAAAATCCTATATTATAAATTTTGCAAAATATAATATAAACAGGCATTATTTTAAAATGTCTGGCATGTATCTTTATATTCAACTTCAATACACATTTTTATGATCATTCACAGCTGCATAAGAAATGCAAAATTTGAATTAAGCATAGGTGACACATTATCCATGTGCCAAGTCTGGATTGTCAATTTATATATAATATAAAAATAAAAATTTAAATAAAATTTTTTACCTAGACCTTATGTGGTAATATAGTTTTTTATGTAGAAATATAGTTTTTAGAAATATCTAATGTAAGAAGTCAAAAGAGAAACAAGGTATAGTTACTTTGAAAAACTATACAATCACTACCTGAAAATTAATATAAATACAGTAGAGCATCGATTATCTGAATATCAATTAACCGAAACGTCAATTAACCGAAAGCTTTTCAGTCAACAAATTTAAATTTCCACTAGTGCTGTGGTGCTGCAATCTTTGGTTATGTCTTGGGCTACTCCAATATTATTTTTGTTGGTGTGTCTGTTTTAGCTGGCAGCACTGGTGCGACCATGAGAGGGTACTTAAGAATGTGCCAGGATTTGAACGAATTTCAACATAGGATAAGTTAATATATTTTTTTTGTACATAATCAGTTATCTGAAAAATCGATTTTCCGAACAACCCCAGACCCCAATTGATTTGGTTAATTGATGCTCTACTGTATTGCGAAACTAGTAGATGAGCCCAGCATTGCTCAGGCAAAAAGTAATGATAGTAAAGATTAAGAATATTAGATTACAGCCGATCTTACCTGTTTTCATTGATTGCAAGAATTAGGTCCCCCTCTTCCAAGACTAATTAGAGAATTTTTAGATGGGTCTAAAATTATGTTTGATTTCTCACAAAAACACAAAATAAAAAGACCACATCTAAAATAGTACAGTAGAAACGGAGTTCTTCAGGGTAATCCTTAACTCTCCCTCTCCCCCACAGGGAAAAATTTCAAAAAATCCCTTCTTAATGTACATTCTCATGATGTACCCTGTGTACCAAATTTCAACTTTCAACTCCTAACTGTTTGGACTCTGCACTTATTATTATTATTATTATCAACCCATCTCCATTATATTATAAGATTAAGAGATTAAGAATATTTTATGAAATTTTTAAAAAATATATATCTGCTATTTCATGCAGAAAATTCATATGTTTTTATTTTTTAATTTCTTACTAATAATAAAATTAATCAATATCTCTACTATAAATTTAATTTTATACAAAATTAAATAGTTTTACATTTGTACAAAATTAAATATATAAATATTTTAATTGAATAATTTATAATGTAAATAATAATAAAAAAAAACAGAAAAAACTGGTTATGGTACGATAACAACAAATACAGGGTGGGGCAGAAAGGACGGGCATTTTGAAATGGCTACAATTCACCACCAGGCAAAGTGACAGATGTGTGGCAGGTAGCGTGAAAGTAGTGAGGTCTTACCATTGTCTTTTCAGTTAAAGGCATGGAGCCATGGATGATAGAACGCCATGTGTTTGTGTAGGACTGAGGAAACATCATACACAAAGGAGATTGCTCAGTTCATATACATCTGATGAGAATATGTTTCCACATCTTTGCATAGATTGGAAATGAATTCCCATCAGATGTGTGCAGTTTCAACAGGATGGGGCAACGACTAGGGTTTCTCAAATGAGATCCCAGTTGTTCTTTTAACCTTGGAAATATCCCAGGAAATTACGTATTTTTTTTAAAAGTTCACTTTTTTCTTATTTTGTGTTAAGATTGAGGAAATTTTGAAAATAGAAAGTATAATTAACTCATAAACTATCAAAATACATTTGTATTCATTAATTTTAAACCTACTTATTAGTTTTTTAAATTTTTGTTCATTATGGCATGTCCAAATGGTCAATAATCAATACATAACTTATTTGTGGCAGGACTCTGAAAATTCTTTACTTGTCAGAACCTGTAATATCTGAAATAATTGTGTTTATGCTGTCTTAATTTTTAACCATGTCCAGTAGCTTCAATAACTGCGTAATGCCAGGTTGTGCAAATTGGGCAAGGATACAAATGAGTATGAAGTCTGCAAGTATGAAGATTTTCTTCATAAATCTAATTATTAAAGACAAACAAACTACCAAATTATTGGGCTTTAAGCTTGATGTTTCTATTAAAGCAGTTGAGAAAGACAAATCAAGAATACTAGAGAGTAAAAGAAGTACTACAATCCTGAAAACAAACTAGAAATCTTTCAGGCTACAGGTGAAAAAACATATAACATCTGTCTTCTTTTGAATGCATTAAACATGATTTCACTCACATCAATTGAATCGGAAAGGGCATTCTCAATAGCAAGATTTTTCATTATTAAAATAAGAATCAGATTGAGTGATCAGAGTACTGACCATCTATGCTTTTTAAAATCTTATTATAAAAATTTACAATAATATTTTGCATTATGTTTTATTTAAAATATGAAAATTACCTTTTAAGTTAGAAGTGATCTAAGTTCTTTTTTTTTTTTTTTAATTTTCAACTCAATTCAAAGCATTTTTTGTTGTTGTTGTATGCAGTTTCCAGTAAACTTTAATAAATTTTTTCTATTTGTGAAAATTTCTATATAATTGAAAGATAATTTTTAATATATATCTTACACAGTATTATTAATATGATTCTGTAGGTTGCAGAACATATTAAATTACTTTAAAAAATGAAAAATAATTATATCATTTGATTTCAAGATATTTTGTATATCTTAAAAATAATTAATTCTATCCCGGGATCCTGGGAAACAGTTCACTTTTTTCCCAAAATCCCAGGACAAGCAAAAGACTGGGAAATGAGAAACCCTAGTGACAGCCCACACAGCTAGAGCATCGTTATTTGTTGTCTCTTCCCTGGATGCCTTATTTCCAGGTTTGGTGACATTCATTGACCTCCTCATTTGCCTGACCTATCCATGTGCGATTATTTCTTGTGGGGACACCTCAAGGCACGTGCATATGAGCATAAGCCCATTCTTTGCAAGAACCAAGGAAAGCTATTTGCATGGAAGTTGCCAAAATCACCTCCAGAAATGCATCACTGATAACAAACACACCACATGAAAGATGTTGTTTTACACACTTGATTCTGTAAAATGCTATTTCAATATGAACTCACATCTTCCGACAAATATCTTTGTAGTAACAATTACAGATGTTGTGATTTTTTTTAAAATGCCCATCCTTTCTGCCCCACCCTATACATATTATATATTAATGTATTTTTATATATTTTTTTCCAATAATATTTACTAATAAATATTTTTAAAGTAGTATATTAATATTTACTTACAACATGTATTTTCATTCTATGTAAAGTATATTTAAGTAAACTACAAAACTGTTCTGTTGTTAGCATGGCTAATATAGGTGAAGCTGAAGATTTCTTATCAGACAGAGAAATGTTGAGACATTCAGGACACATCCAATCTTCTTCACATATTTTCTCTCTATTTACACATTGTACATGATAAATTCTTGGGCACAATGAACACTTCTGTTCACCATCTTCTTTATGGCATATCCAGCAATATCTATCATACTGTCTATCCTGAAACAAAATAAAATTGTAAATAATTTCATATTTACAACATTTAAACTTTTTAAATTATTTTACTTGTTAAAATTATTATAAAATATAAAAATCTAAACAGATCCACAAGAGTTTTTTAATCTATTATTTAAAATATAATTTAGTGTTAAATTTGAAGTATAGCAATAGATATTGATTTTAGATTTTGTTTTAAAATTTTCAAACTATAAATATTACTTACTGCAAAAAATTCAACATTGATAATTTTATTCTATATATCATCAAAATTCTTATGTATTATATAATTACAAAATATTTATATTAAATTTTGGTTTAAAAATTGCACTGCACTATATACAAACTTTATAATCCATAATCTGAATGTGTTTTGTCTTCAATTAAATTAAATTATTTACTTTAAAATTTTTATAATTCTTAATGAAAGTAGGAAAATAAATATATTAATAAAAACTAATTTCTTAGAAGAATTAAAATTTTTTTATTACATATAAATCATTTAAAATTTATAGAATATTGCTTTTGTATTATATTGTAACTCTAATATTTTAAATAAATAATAACAAAAATATATATATTTATTTACAGATAAAAATTTTTAAAAATTAAAATTAATACAAAGCTAATCAAACAAACACTTGAATGAAATTCTAAATAATAAAAAAAATTCAAATTACATTGCATTGAGCTGCTGTAATTTTGATATTTTAAATTAAATTATTAAGGTAATTTGGCCTAAAGATAGGCAGGAAAACAACTAATAACATACCTGCCCAGCTTGCAGAAGTTCAGGGTTCACATCTCGCTTTAAGTCAATCTTTTTTTCCAGACGTTTCTATTAAATTTAAAATTCTAATTATTAACATTTATACAAAATGAATGCATCATTTATCTTTAGGCCAATCATTTTAATAATTTAATTTAAACAGCAAAATTATAAGCAGAAAAATTGGAATTATTTGGTCTCTATTCTGAATATAAAACAATAACTAAATACATAACACCATGTTAATATGTGGTATTATGTATTTACTTACATAATAAGACTCTATAAACACAAATATATATAATATAAATTCTTAACAATTTTAAATGTTTTTCAATATCTATAATCTTATACAATAGACTTTCAATAAGTCAAACTTCCTTAACTCAAAATTTTACTTTAGTCTCAATTCCTATAGACTCAATATTTCTGCACTTTTATAAATCAAAGTAATTTTGAAATTGGATTTTGTCAACTCAAAATTTAAGATCCAGACATTTTTATTTCATGTCTAATTTTGTGCACTTTCTTTTGCAGTTTTAAGGGGCTGGATTATGTCATGAAATTGAAGATTGGTATTGTATAGAAGTATGCCTCTGATTGCCTGACATAAAATTCAAAATTTTAATGATATTTTATTTCTAAAATGACTATCTTATTCTTAAACATAAATTGACCAATTAAATCTTATCACTTTAAAAATATGATGTTTTAGATTTTGAAAATTTAAAAATTAACTCACACATCTGTGATTTGACAACTTATTGAGTTATTGGTCAATCAAATTTATACAGTATGAATGTTTAGTTCCAAATAAGATTTCATATATATATATGACATGTACAGTGGAAACAGCTTTAATAGATCATCTTTGAAATAAAAAAAACAACAAAACAAAATGGCCTCTAAATAAAGGTGACCTTTCAATTATGACAGCAATTAATTATTTCACTTAAACTTTGCAAAAACTCCATTATTTATTTATATTTTTGTAAGGTAGCAAGAGATTTTATTTATAGTTATGTTTAATTATTTACATTATTTTCCATTTTATTTCAGTTACTTTGAGATTTAGAGAGTGAGTAATGTTAAACCAGACATGGGCAAATGCGGCTCTTTTTGAGTTACATGCGGCTCTTGCTGAAAGTGTTAATTTCTGCTTTTTACTATTATTTTTACAATTTTATTTCCACAATTTTGTGAAAATATGTTTATTAAAAAAATTCAATATTTGTTTTATATTATATTTATATTATATAATAAAATCGCAGTACAGAATTTAAAAATTACAGAACTGCGGCTCCCATGAATTTTGCAAAACCTACATTTCAGCTCCCACTGAACTTTTGCTTACCCACCCCTGTGTTAAACTGTTAAACCTTAACTGCTATCTCAACACTTCTGCTAGTACTTCATTTGCATTAATAAGAGGATTATTGGTACTTTGTCTAGCAGAATAGATTTTCTTAAACATAATAAACTTAGCAACATAACTTAATGATCCTAAATATTCAGAACGAAAAATATTCAAAAAAGCCATTTTGTAAAATTGAAGACGAAATTGAAATGTGATTACAAAGATTAAAAGATCTTGAAATTGTAAAAATTTTATTCATGTGGCAATTGCAATGGTAAATAGCTGCAAAAAAAATAACTTGATGAAAAAAGTAATAATTATAGAACATGAATCGATCTTGATCCAATACAATTTTACTGTTAATAAACAAAAATAAAATTTGTTTTGTTAGCACAATGTTGCTGTTGAGAACATATCATACAGGAACACTTTAAGAAGAAAAAGGTTGCTTTATTGGCTTGGACGGATATGCATTTCAGGCTTAATGCCCCTCTTCAGTCCTATTATTATTACATAATTATCAAATTGGTTACAGGTATCAAAATTTACAGAATACATTTAAATAATTAGTATACGCGTACAGTGATTTATATGATAAAATACAATTACCTGAGATAGTGACCATTAAGCTGGTATGACACATGAGATATATATACACATATTTAAAAAAGGGGGGGATGAGCATATAGTGCTAATGGTTCAATATACAGACACCTGAGGATAGTATAATGTGTGTTAAATTAAAAAGTGGAATGCACAAAACTAAAAAAGTATATATTAAAAAGGTGTAAATTATAAAAATAATAACGAAATACCTGTAGGATGTGACATAGTACAGAAGAGATGTGTGTCTGTATATTGAACCATTAGCACTATATGCTCATCCCCCCTTTTTTAAATATGTGTATATATATCTCATGTGTCATACCAGCTTAATGGTCACTATCTCAGGTAATTGTATTTTATCATATAAATCACTGTACGCGTATACTAATTATTTAAATGTATTCTGTAAATTTTGATACCTGTAACCAATTTGATAATTATGTAATAATAATAGGACTGAAGAGGGGCATTAAGCCCGAAATGCATATCCGTCCAAGCCAATAAAGCAACCTTTTTCCTCTTAAAGTGTTCCTGTATGATATGTTCTCAACAGCAACATTGTGCTAACAAAACAGATATAATAGAGAACAACAAGCAACCTTGATTCAAAAATAAAATTGCTTGAGAAACTCAGTCGTAAAAATTCTCCATTTTTTTAATATTGTCAGTTGCACTTTCATTTCTGGTTGATACTATAAGTTACAGTAAGTGAAAAAGTAACCTGGAGAATGAATGAGAGATTGCTTTAAAAAAGTCAGAGTGACTCCTGTTTTATTTGGTTGTAAACATGTTCAACATGCAAACTAACAGTGTTGTGACAATGCACGAAGCGCCCCCCTATGCTTCGGCACCACAGGACCGAAGGGTTGACACTGCATCAGAGAAGACTGCAATGACTAATTTGTCAGGACTGACACCACTGTGTCTTCTGGGTAAACATGGAAACCGTTACGTTCACATTTACGTGTGAGCAGTCGCGTTTGTGGGTGGTTGGACTCGAGATGGAGACCACTTGAAGTGCACCCACTTGAAGTGCACCCAACACAATTCTAACAATAACAAAATTTGTTTATTAAACTAGTTCCACAAAAGGGTATTTACCCTAAAGCTTCTTCGTGAGAACTGAGTTGGAGAGAGAGAGAGCTTACATAATATCGCGGGTCGTTATAAATACCTGAAGCACTGTGTACGGATTTCCAGATGGTTGTGGAGTCATTGGGGAGCCTTGGAAATGTCTTTGTTGCCTTGGATGGTGGTTAAAGTCTATCGAAAGTTGAGATCCATTGGTTCTTCATAGGTGTTCCCGGAGAAACACAGGATATTAGGGAGGAGCGCACAGCAACGAGTGATGATGATAAATCCTTTCGGCTGGCACAGAGGGAATACTCTTGCAGACTCTCAACCCATCTCACTGTTCCTTGAGGTCTCCTCTTTATTTCCAAGTCACGTTGTCATTTTCCACCAATAGTGAATTTTTAGTTGTAGTTCCCGGTGACACATTCTGAGTTCCCTGGGAAAGGAAACGACTCCAGGAAGAGAAATGCACTCATCCTCCAGTAATAAAATGGCAAAAGTTTTTTCTGAGATTTAAATATATTTCCTTTTCAAAACAAAAAATGAATTTTCCTTTGGAAAATTTTTTAATAAAATTGTGGGGTTTTCCCCCAAGTCTGACCTCTCAGTGTATAAAAACTGATATAGCAAGACAACCTCACTCCAGCTGGTCAGTATGTAGCAATGGAATTGTAAGCTATTGATAATAACCATTTGATCGAATTGGTACTGATTAAGGGTTTTTCTTTTGCTAGGTTATTTTCCCTAATCAGGCTAATTGTTTAAAATTTTAAATTACTGTATTTTTGTAAATAGTATTAATAAACATTTTATTGTTGTAAATATTGAATTTGTAGTTTGTAATATTTGAGCTTTATACTAACTATTATTGTTGAAATTATAACTTTTGTAGTCAGAAGTCCATTATTGTCATATATAGTTTAATAAAGTTTTTGAATTTTATGAACTTTAGTGGAAGGATCATTTCTTTGGCATTTTGGCCTTGCATTATCATACTTTGTTAACTTTTTCTAAACTTTAAGATAACTAGATCTAATTAAGTGTTTTGAAATAATAGAATTCAATATAGTTCACCATTAAAAAAGTTTTATTGTATTAATTTATACAATATGTTTTTCATAATTAATAAATCTGTCAACATAAATGAAAATAATATTCTTTCTATAGAAGATACTTAATCTAAAAATTTCAAAGAAAAAATTTTCTGTTTTGATAGTACATAAGAACTTATACTGTATTTATGCACAAATAAAAGCAGGCTCTTATAAATGAAAATTTCTGGTTTTAGCATTTTTGAAATAATTTGCTTATAAGAGTATACTCTTGTGTGTGCTAGCTTGTTTTGGCTTATAAGAACACTGAAATACTGTGTCAATGTAAATTAAATATAAATGTACAGATACAGAACTATTAAATGACATCTCTGTGATAACTACATTAAAAATAAAAAGCCAAACTAAAAAAATATATTTCTGATGCTATAAAAATTGTTTTAAAAATAGTGAATCTTTTAGGTACTTTGTGCAAAATACTGCTGATTTTTCCCCATCTCTAAGAGTATGCTATTATACTTGGTTATATCCAAGTATAATAGCATATAATACTATATAATATACACATAGTATATTAACAGATCAAATATATAAATAACATTTACAGAACCATTTTTGGTTCTTGATTCTGTGAATGTCATGTATAAGAACATGTTCTTATATGTATGAAAATACAGTATGCTTTTAGTTATATGATAGTTAAGTATTTACTAAGGAAAACAACAATAACACTTATGCAGTTATGTATTAAACTTGCTTAATTTAATTTAAAGTTTTAATAATACTTATGAAATTTAAACTAAAACAAACTGAGATATACTGTAGTCATTTTTACTGGCTATTTTAATCATGAACTATGAAAAAATTGCTACATTAAAATATTTCTTTATTTAATACAATTAATTAAATTTAATTATTCATTTTAAAATAGTTAAAAATTTCTTAAAAATCATAAATGATATGGAAATAAATTTCTACAA